ATTCACATACAACGGCCCATTTTGCCAGACTGGTAGAGATTTCGTTTTAGATTGTTTGTTAACGACATTGTCCTGTGATTTTAAGACAGGTTTTTTCATGTGTGTCTATTCTTTGAGTTAAGCTGCAATCTATATTGAAGTGTTCAACACCGCCAAGATCTAAACATGGGCCTATATCATTTTTAGTTAGAAAAATTGTAGCGTATTTCACATTTACACTCCACTCGCAATTGTACCGTATACCTTGTGACCTGTTCTCGAACATGCTAAGCACTAAACTAAGAAGGTAGTAAATGTGATATTGGTTAATAAGACTCTCAGTGCATACAAATTTTAATTTAAGTCAGTGTGTTTTTAATATCTTCAGTAGATTCTAATATTTACTCAATTTAGATTGATGTAAGTAATATTTTGTAAAAGTAAAGTAATTAACTATATATGGTTGAACGTGATACGATCTTATTTGCACATATTAACTTCCCTTATTTGTATTTGTAAGTACACAAATAAACATGACTTCAAAGCGAGTTACCAGATTAACAAAACTTGTCAGCTTAGAAATATTCAATAAATAAGTAAATAAGGAATCTAATTTAGAAATTTATTGAATGTTACCATTTATATCATTAATAATATTAAACTAGATAAAGCTATGAATGAAACATCTACTTACAGTACTTTTAATATTTAATAATTTTGTATTTATCAAGTTATTTGGTTATAACATATATATAGATACCTGTTATTTCTCTGATTGGATTATAAACCTGATATATTGTGGCTGAGACAGAAAAATCCAAAAATAATACTTTTAAAAACTAATGTGCGGGACTTTCTTGGAGTTTTATGAAATAGTAAGACTATTGATTTGTAAGGTTTTATAATAAAATAAAAATAAATCAGTGGCGCTACAACCTCTTTAGGTCTGGGCCTCAGATTTCTGAATCTGTTGGATGATCATTTTTCAATTAAATAGCCAAGTAGGTGATCAGCCTCCAGTGCCTGACACACGCCGTCGACTTTTTGGGTCTATGACATGTCGGTTTCCTCACGATGTTTTCCTTCACCGTTCGAGCGAATGTTAAATGCGCACATACAAAGAAAGCCTATCGGTGCACAGCCGGGAATCGAACTGACAACCTCAGGGATGAGAGCCGCACGCTGAAGCCACTAGGCCAACACTCCAGGTTTTATAATACTTGTCAAACTTTGTATGTATTTGCAAGGCTGCAAAGGAATTTAATGAGATAAATGTACTTTAAGGAAACAAAGGAGACATCAGAGAGATCTGTTCTAAAAATATTTTACGGTTAAATACAAAATGCTTTAACTGAATATTTATGTGTATCTTAAGGTGCCTCTACACGGGCTACACTTTTAATGAAATATGTGGCTACATCATTGCCGACTATAGCCCAAAAATACAAAAAAATTAAAACATTTTAACGCACATGGCTGAAAAATGTATAACTCGGCAATATATCTGCAGTATATGGTTTATTATTTTGTCTTTACACGGTCTACAAACATGGCTTGGCTAGAACCTATTGCTGCAATGGCGGACGAACTCAAAAGCGTTGCAGCAGATTATATTGTTTTAAAAGCAAAGTCAAAAAAACGAACAAAAATGTGGATTCGACCTTATTTCAATATTTCAGCGTATTTCGGCGTGATACATTAGATATTTTAAGTCTGAAATTAAGACTCGAACAATTATCTAAAAACTTTACATGAATGTCAAAGAGTTTGATCACATTGTTCACAAGAATGGACCAATGATACAAAGAATAGAAACTAACATGATAAAAGCTACAACAAGTTTGTTGCACAGTCTACCCGTGAATGCTGGCTGATGCTACCAGCCACACCCTTGCAGCTATACATTTTCGTAAAAAAAATGGCCCGTCTAGGAGCCCCTTAATACAAAGACACAACGTGTACAAAAAATGGACTATTACATATTGAGACATTTTAAACAATCAAGACGGACCCAAAACAAACATAACACATTTTAATATTTCGATTTGGTTTCAAAATTTTGTTGTTTCAAATAAATAAATATAAAAATACGTGAATTTTGATAGTAGGTTTCTATGTTAATTATCACCAAGACGGATATATTTCGATTGATGCTGATTTTATTGTTCCTGGTTCGTTAACGACTATAAAACAATCATTTACAACATATGAATTGGCCATTTTGACCATTTATGTGTTTTGTCAGATATTTGTGTAATTACGGAAAACGATTGCCCAACATTAAAAATTTTTATACGGAAATATTGTATGTTCCTTATAGTACAAAATGTGTATAATGAAGTTAATAGATTTAATAATAAGTACTTATTTTATTTTAAATGTGCGTAACTTTATTTACTCTTATTACGTTTAAATTAGACATATGAAGATAAACATTTTTGAAATATGAAGGATTATTTCTTTATAATAAGATTTAGCAGTTATTTTTTTAAGAACTACTTCTATCAAAGTTTAATAGCCATAGGATTAGACATATTTCACATTCGAGATAGGATTCGGAATCAATTCTTCAATGAAGTAATAACCAGGACCAATGACTTAACTTTTTTTAACTATAACTAATATAATACAGACTATAATATAGATTATATTCTTGCTTTGCTATGGTGACTTCAAAATTGAATACTGTGAAATCTTAAATCCCGAATAAAATACAAAATGGTAGCTTGTAAAACTTAAATATTCTCGCTAGGAAACGAGTGAGCGACCGAAGTATGTGATTTTATTTTGTAGTCAAACTTCATCTACTTACTAACAACCTACTTACAATGTGTGTTCTTAGTTAACAAGTAACTTTAATTCACGCTCTGTTAGTAACGTTATAAGTATATAACAGAATAAATAACGCTTGATAATAAGAGCCCACGAACCACTGATTAGCGTTAAACGTATAATCAATGAAATCCATAATAACCAACGTAACGGACTAAATACTAAGAAGACATTAGATACATATGTGGTGGTTACTGACGGTTCCCGTTACTCGTATTTACACTTATCCCGTTACGAATACTTCGAGTACATTAGAGCCGTTTTTCTTCTTCAAATAATTAATCCAGCCTCTAGTTAACATTACTTAAGAGTGTTGACACATAGATTTACCGTTGGAATGAAAATTAATCATTATAAATACGTACTTATATACTGACTGCTTCAAAGAGACTAACCGACCGTTAGTGTATTGAAAGCTTATTGAATTGAAATAAACTTTTTTTTTTAAGATAGTGAACTTACTGTGGACGAACTTATGTTGTCGTGTATATTATTAACACAGGCATATTATTAACCAAATATTTTTTTTTATAAATTTGGTTCCAATTTGATCTCTGGAGTCTTCTTAAAGACTTCACACTCGTGAACTGAAATAATGTAGAGTGCACCGTAACTCCCAGTTGTAAACAAGGTACAGAAAAAAGGTTGCATGTTCTGGCAAACAAACACATTTCTGCATTATACCCAACTAGGCGGAGTTGAAAGATGGTTCACATTGCAAATTGTTATTAAAATTAACATTTTATACCCTATCATTTAATCTGGACATTAATACCGGTCGGTGCAGGAGTATTCAATCCAGTTTTTCTAGCGTCTTGGAATGTGGTCTACTTTGCACCTGCCGTTACACCATATCATTAAATCTTGCCGTAACAAATATCTACTTTTCAATGCTAAAGCTACTAAAACAAATTCCTAACATTCAATATTGGTTCCAAGAGAATATATATCTTTATATAGTTCTTATTTCCTTGTTTGAAAGTTATGCCAAACTCACGAGAAAATGCGAAACTTAATCATTAAAATTTAAATGTAACAGTGTCTATGGAACGTTTTAAAGCATAAAAATAAAAGTTTTGGTTGGTTCATACATAGATTACGTGGAACCGTACGATAGTGTATTGCAAAGCTGAAATATCTTCCTAAAGGAATTTATCCAATACAAATTATTATGGTTGTATGTAACAAATTTCGAACCTCCGAAATGGGATCCCGTACCCCCGGACGTAAGCTAAATTTATAACGTTTAGCACAATAAATAATTCATACAATAGACCTAAATACATAATATTGTCAAAAGCTAAGATTAAGTTTCTACCCACATAACCCGCCTGACAATTCGTAACTAAATAACGAAATAATTACGCTATTGTGATTTGTGTATAATAATATGTAACATGTGTAAAGGATACAGAACTTGTGAAAAATTATACAAGTTCGACGACAAACTGTGCAGATAGTAGAACTACATAGTTATGAAATTTATAACACCTATTTAAAATATAAACGTAATATGCTTTATAAATAGCCCATAAAATAAAAATTGTGCAACTCGATAGGACCTTTTTTAAATGATAAAAACCAATTAAAAACCGGAATACATGACAGAGTTTTTGCAATATGACAAGTTTAACTGCACGCAAATTATTCGGTGCATTCGAATTTTGATTCAAATAAACGCTTTAAAATATTCTGTCCGAGTCAGCTGAAAGATTAATTATAATAGCCATTACCGGTGTGATATTAATTAATTGTTAATTTAATTTGCGAGTGCCGCCAACCACGAATGTCTACGCAGGTTGCAGCACCGGCTGGCTCATAAATTAGGGGTGCAGGGTGCAGGATCGGTGGCTAAATGCTAACATCACTCATGCTTTCAATTATGGTATCAAAAATAACCGCACAGATTCCAGAGAACATTATTCATACATCACATTGCGCATATTTGGTTGATGCAATTAACAACGTAGTGGAATAAAGAAGTGAGCTAGTACATATTTCGGAATTAATAATAATTTACACGCCATTTTCTCGATAACAAATATAATATTAACAATAATTATTACTTTATTTAGTTTTATGTATATTTAAATTACAATCTTGTCCGAAGAACATGTCAGAAAGCATCCTAATTCCTAGTTAACCCTTTATTTGTCACGATGACAAACAACGAGTTACGATAATTAACCTTATAAGCTTCCTCCACCCATAACATTCATATCAGTACCGACCGACGAAGGACGAATCGGCAACTTATTATTATTATTCTTTTCGAATTTTAACAAAATATTTTTTGCACCATTTTTGTCTCTATGAATACCTTTACGGCATACACTGCAGTATACGTAACGGTGTGGAGACTTTGATACACTTAATTTTCTCTGAACAGATTCTCGATCGTGACAATAACTACAATTTTTAGTAGTAAATGCTTCATTAATCACAAACACTGACAAATTCTTTCTTCGTTTTATAATATTAAGTACATCATTATGTCTAAACTTCCTGTGACCCTTGAAGGTTCCTTTGTTCATTAAGTCGAACCCAGCACCGTATACAACCAAAGTGTCTGGTTCTTTTCCAAAATAATCGTCTACAATTTTATGCAACATCTTCTGATCATTGTGGTATTTGTCGAATTTTAAACGTTGTAATCTTAATATTTGCTCGTAAAATCTTTGTTTTTCATCGAACCACTTTAGTTGAAATCTGGTGTAGACTTCTGCGTTTCGAGATTTTCTGGTTAATTCGACACCCGACTCTTGTTCGACAGACTCTCTGTCCACTCGTATGCGCTCCTCTATGTCTTTGATGAAACGCAATCTTTTCCGAACTCTATGACACTCTTTTGATTCGTATACTACACGTTCCTATTTCAAGACCTTGTACGAGAAATCATCTCCATTACGAGCACATGTAACTATCGGTGTTTTGGCTCCAGGATCCACTGCTATGACTTTTGAATAGTTTCGTTTACTACCAAAGGCAGTGTTCTCTAGTGATTCTTCGCACTTTTTAGCCTTCTTTGATTTTAATTTTTGACCCTTTTGTACAATGCGATTCATAGATAGACACACACTCACTCCATCTGTGGATAAACTATACCCAAACTTACGGGGTAATGTGAAATGTCGGTTCCAGTACATGGTAGTGTTCTCAGAAAACACAGGCCAAGTAGAAGGTGTGTTATTTGGATCAACTCTTCTTAAGAATTCATGAATACATCTTGAATCGTATGTTATAAATTTTAATCCATGTGAATATATCGGGAAAGCGTTGAACGATAACTTGCCTTCATCGTACAGCTCGTGTTGAATCCTCAAGAATAGTGCAATAAATCTCCAAAAGTTTTTCTTTAGTTCTTTAGAATTCATTTTATTCTCAGTAAACCATTCTCCGATTCTATTAGATTTACACACCCCGTTGTAGTACGCATCATAAGTTGAAGAGGGTAGGTACTTTAGATTTGTCCATATCTGTACCAAATTTATGATACATGTATCTTTTAAGTCTTTTGAAAGCATGAGTGTGTATATTTGTCTCTAAAATTGTGCTGTCTTGTTTTGCAATCTGTATAATTGTGAATGATCTCGATCGACCATCGTAAAATGTATTATTTCCTCTCAACGATATATAATATATGTAGAGATTACGTTGTCTGGATCGGTTAATTTATGTTTTGTGCCAATGCATACGTAAATTGCAATGCATCAAATTTAGGAAACATTACATGAAAATCATCACGAGTGCTGTAGTGTTTGTAGAAAAAGTTTACCAGATACGATAGCTCTATTGATAATCTGGACATTTCTCGTACATCATCACGTATGGCACACACAATTGCTTCTTTACAATCGTTCAACGGGCACAACACAGAGGTGAGACCCTTCCTGATGCTATAAACGGAAATTTCTTGATCAGAGTCTATACCAGTTTCGCGTATACGACGTTTTCTATTTAAGCATTTGGCACTGGAAGAACGTTGATGATCATCTTTACGGCAAGACGGACAAGGCATCTTTTAGATTCTCATTGATATTTATACTTAAAGTGAGAGTATTAAAACTTTTATTTTTCACATGATAAATTTCTTATAAATATAAAATATACCTTTACTATACTGTTCACATTATGTAGTTTTATATAATGAATTAAAGGATTGAAGTTTGAAAAAAACAAGATTTGAAATAAAAAATTAACTTATATATATTTATTCAACAAGGTTCATTATCGTATGGATAAATATGTATATTATACTACACATTACCAACTAAAACGTTAAAATGCGTATAGTAGTGCCATCTATAATCTACAGTACAAACTATTACAAAGATTCCGCTTGCGCTTTGGTTCATCGTACAACTCTTACTACTAGGTTCGTGTGTACGTACGCAGATGTCGCTGATATTAACCATTAAACAATTAATCAATTTATTAACCTTACAAGCATGTTAATCCTATTTAACCCAGTTTATGTGCTAGCAAAATAGTTTTTTTTCTAATCATAGACGACAGATAGCAGATAGCATTTTTGAAATGTAAAAACCTTATGTTAAAAATGATAACGAAACAGGTTTACGCATTCATGAAACTTCGGGTAGGTATAAAGAAACCCAATAAGTAAATACGGAAGCCAATGATAAGTTAAATGACCTATTTATCTTTAGGTATCCAATTTTACCAATAAGACATACAGGATATGGTCTGTAAAATTTTAATACCTTAGTTTTCTTAGTTGCGAAGTAATAGTATACCGTATTTAGTTTTCTTACTATGTTATAATACACGTTTTATATGTACATAGTAAAAGTATTGTTACACGATATTAGCATTTAGGTCATAAACAATATTCTTGTAGGCATATTGTATCAAGAACAGTTTTGCGGTTAGCAATGTCGTGACTAAATAAGAGGCCTATAGAAAGACATAACTATTATAATTGTATCCTTGTATTTTTATTATTTGGGAAATGCCTTTTACTTGAAAATTTCTTATAGTTAATTGATATTGAGTATAAACTATTTATTTAATGATTATTTGTAATAATTATCAGCAACCTTTGCTTATTCTTTCTTTTATACTCCATATCAAAACAATTTGTCAAAAAACAGAAACAAAACGTATGAATATATTAAATACAAATCTTAGTTATTATATTCTACTATATGAGTTAAAGTCCTTATTTTACTATCTTTATATTTCTTTCTTTAAGTTAGTAATTCACAAGTCCTATTTCGAGAATTGTAGAGCAATTCTATACTAAATTGTATCACATCGCATCGTTAGGTCCTATCAAACATGAAACGAAGTCACAAAGTTGTAGGAATCCCTTCAAGATAGACGCGCCTATTTTTACGTAGAAATTTTGTGAACAGGTTTTCATTACCAATCAACACAATGAAAAATTAAATCTAATCTGCCAAGTTAAAGTGATACTAAAGTGATATCAAATAAGTATATAGTTATAATGCCTATAAATTACGGAGCAACAGATGAAAATGATAATGGGGTTAACAGTGCAAAAGAAATTACTGAAGAATATATAAGGTAATGATAATGTATTCACTGCACACAGTACATACTTAGGTATAAGCAATTTTCAATTCAGCCAATTTGCGACACTCGGCGGATAAATAGGGCACAAAACGAGATCGTATTGTTAAGATGCATTAACACATCATTCATGGCCTGAAAATAGATTTTTTGATTCCCTGTAGGAATTAGTAAATTGAATCATTAGTCAATTCCGTTTACCCTTACCTGAAGTAAAGGCTCAGTTTCAACCACGTTAAAATGAATTAAAAGTATTTGCTACCATTTATACAGTATTTTTGACTTCAGTATGGATTATCATTTATTTTATTTGAACAGGTGTATACATTAGTTATATTGTCTTATATAGTTGAAATATACATCTTTTAGTAGCTTCATCATTCATGGCACGTGACTTACATAAGTATCATTTTGTATGGACGTCAAACATTTATTTCTAATAAAAATGTCTGTAAGACTATCTTTTATATAGTTTAACTAGCAGACTCGGCCAAGCGTTGCTGTGGCTGAGGTTTTTGTTATATTACTACTGGTAGATCACCAGTCATGGGGACCACCATGCTTTTTTGGTGGTTATGCCAATAAATTGTAGCTTATTTAAAACGTTGGTACTATCAACACAGCGCCATCTGTTAGAAATGTGATTGTCAAATAATAAACAAATAATTTGTAATAAAATAATTTTGCGGGTATAAATTAAGATGTTAGCTATCCTATCTTTTAAATTAGTTCAAACTGCACAGTGCACACGGTGTGCAAATTTGATAGAAATCGGTTAAGTAGTTTAGGAGTCCATAGCGGACAAACAACGTGACGCGTATTAAGATGACATGCGTGAAGCACTATTTTAATAAGTGCTTTAGTAGTTAGTACTAAGCACAGGTATCTACATTAAGATGACCGTGGCTGCTGTACAATATTTGAAAACTAGATCATCTTGCGTTTTTTAATTAATGGTATTTATAAGAGGTTGAGTACTTATGATTCCTTTAAAAAACTCAAAAAAATCCTATTATAATGGCATCAGAGGTATGTAACTGTGTTCATTTCAGTGTACCAATAAGGCGAAAATGGTGGGTTGTGAGTCAAAAATTCCTCTTTGGTTTGGGACATGTTTACAACGACCTCTGTGCTGCAATGTGGTTCTCTTACATGATGCTGTTCTTGCAAGCGGTTATGGAAATGCAGGCTGTGTTTGCTGGAACCATGTTACTTTTAGGTTTGATTACAACTATAAAATCAAGATAGACTTTAATTGTACAATATTGAGTTATCGCAGTTTCTTCAATGGCGTAGTTCACCTAAACTCCCTTCAAACTTCTCTTATTCTTGCTTGATACAGCCAGTATTCATTGAATTATATTATGTATAGTAGATGTAATATTATGGTAAAATAGGTAATACTTTTCATATCCTTGTAAGGGCCGAGAGACACGTTCAAGGGCGAAGTAACTCTCCCATCTGTCAAAATATGTTTTTGCATTGTGATTTTGACAGTTAAAAGATTTCTCCCATATTCATAAAAATTAAACAGGCCGATTATGCAGTATTTTTAAAAAAACTATTTCGTCTCTTTGAAATGTTAGCTAATTTAATCAGATGTTTTAAAGATGAGAAGGTATCTACATACAGAATAAAAAAATATATTAAACTCATTTAGAATGGAACATAAGCCGGATTGTTGGATTTCTTATGTTTTCAGGTCAAGTTATAGATGCTCTAGCCACACCTGTTGTAGGGGTATTAGCTGACCAGTTTAATACGAAAAAGAGGTGGCATTTAGTAGGTAAGCAGATTACCACAGTTGGAAATAAATTAATTAGTGATTTGTGATTATTTCACTAATTATTCTTCTGAGTAGTTTTCTATTCTATGCCTCGTGTATTATTTCAAATCAGAGCCAGTGTCCCGGCACTAAAAGTTGTTTTAGCTTTACCTCTAGACGGACTACTACGAAGATGTATACACAAAATAAGTATCATTTTATTAACAGGTGTTTACATACAATAATACGACACGAAAATAAAAGGCAGAGCGACATTTTCGAACGCGATTTTATATAATTGGACATGTATTATTATAACATCATTCATATTATTTATACATATATAATATTTATTTATGACATTATTAATAATTATTATTGAAATGTCTTCCAGGGTCTGTGTTAGTCATATGTTCGTTTCCCTTATTATTTGTGCGATGTTGGGGATGTTGGCCTGACGCAGAACTAAATTATGTATCAATATGGATGCCGGTGTATTATTCAGTTCTTATTACAATGTTTCAAATCGGTTGGGCCGTTGTCCAGATATCTCACCTAGCAATGATACCTGCTATATCTGACAGTTTACAAATACGGTCCGAGCTGACATCTATACGGTATGTAGTTTTTATACTCGACATTTATCTTTGTATATTACTAACCTATGACCTAACCTAGATTACAGACAAGTGATACATTCTTCATTGATCCTTCGGTAAGAAATTAGCCTACTGTCCTTAACATACGTCGTTGCTCTAAAACCTTTACAGTAAAACCTTTATGGTGTTAATTGCGAAAGGAAAGGAAAATCCACATGTCGACGTAGGAAAGCATATTTGCTGTAAGTAGACATATTGCAATTGTTCACCAGAGCCAAAAAACTTAATTAATTTCGGAAAAAATAATAGTGTCGAACCTATCCATATATTGCTACCATTTTGAAACATTTTTATTTAACTGCAGTCACCGTTTGCAATGTTAAATTTTTATCCAAAGTTACATAAGTACGTGTTTGGCTAGTTACAGCATACAGTTTTTAAAATCACAAACCTTTAAAACCTGTAACTAAGGAAGAAAAATGTACGCGCGGAAAATTATCAATTTACAGTCGGTAATTGCTGTATGCAGTAAATATGTATTTGGGTACTTTCAATTGAAATTCAAGATGTAAGATTAGTTATAATTGATTAGATCTAGAAATGCAGTGGGTCATTTGGTAATGTAATGTTTGGTTGTAATAACTCGTAAATTAAAACAAACTAAAACTGTAGGTTCCCTAAGCTTGCTGTAAGTAAACGAATGTAAAAATCACACGCCGCGAAATGCAGTAAGTAGTGTTAAGTTTAAATGGGAAGAAGTAAGTATTTGTAAAGTAAAAATGCAGATTTTCTTTTGCTGTAAGTACAAATTGTCTAAAATGAATGGATTTTGGTCTACATACAGCATTTAATCTTACTAAAAAAATTAAGTACGGGCGTTTTTCAACCGCGTATTAATTTTTTTCATCGTAGAGAACAGACCCGGGACATTCGATGCGGTTTTTTCTGATTCTAATGGCAGTAAAAAGTCACTTTAGGTATTTGTCTACTTACACAAATATTCCTACGTCGATGTTATCATGCACAGCTGAGGTTCGAAAAAAATCATTGGGTCGTAGCCAGTACAGAAGTCACCAAAACCTATTTTGGATTAACAGATTATTGAACCGTACTAGTGACGTACATACGAGTATAACCTAATGGACACATGACACTGTTTCACTGGTCGCTTTTCGTATTAGGCATTTGATATGCCTATTATGATAGATGAACTACTGGGCCACGGAGGTTTAAAGTCGCGTAACCCCTCAGTAAGCGTAAGCCCTTCCACGCAAAAACCTTTGATACAATAAAATGATAACAAATGCCATTTGTGCCTTCCAAAGAAACAGCCGGGAATCGAATCCATTACTTGCAAGGTCCATTAAACTAACGTTATTTAACCGAAACACAACTTATGGTGAGAGAGTTAAATTTAAATTAATATTTTGACTTTATAATTAACTTGCATTGTATTATATTCATATTTATAATTTCTTAGTGTATTGCGTGCGAATTTGAGACGATTGTCTCTATCATTTAGATAATTCTTCCGATTCCCGTAATGTTGGAATCTCAGAAATATAACTTAATACATCCTGCAATATTATCATAGAGATTAATTTATTTATATGAAATGTGGGAATTATTGAAATGAATACTTATTAATGTATTTTAAATTCATTATGAATTTTAATTAATGACTAATTGATTTCGACATTACTAAAACGCTTTCAGGAGAATTAAATTGTAAGCAATATAAGTTACGAGTAATTATCTGACTGGTCAGATAAGGTAATATGAGTTCGGGACATCTAATATGCCCCACATATTTATCCAAATATTTTGTATTGGTTTCCAGTTATATGGCTTCTGTGATATCGAGTTTGACCGTGTATTTTATAACGTGGGTTGTTTTGAGATCCACGAAATACAGTACTTCCATTGGACCGACTGATGATTATAAATTTCGGGTAAGTAAGTATTTAATTATATATTTATCAAAACTAGGTCTTCGTTACAAGTCTGTTTGTTTACTTTCTTATAACGCGCAATCTCTATCTCATTAATATCTTTATAATATTATGAATAAAACGTATAAATGGTTTAAATAGAGGGTAAAACTTGCTGAGTTTCTTGCCCGCTCTTCTCAGAACAAGGCCTCCTGGTAGTTTTGCGAACGGATGACGTAGTCTTGCTCTTTCGCGAATTTTGTAAACGTTTTTGACATTCATAAGCATGCCCTAAGACCTTAAGTATTAAGCGAAAAGTATTCTGGCTTAATACTCTAAGCCTAAGACGCATCTAAATTGAATAAACGTATTTTGATTTGATTTGAAATGAAACATTTTAATAACTCATGCTAACGCAATTCATTTAACTTAAACATATTTATTTTGCTATTATTTTTTCTCAGACTTTTCTCAGAATTTTTTATAAAATTCAAATAGCTAAGGAAGAAAACTTAACTTTGGTTTTGGATGAATTTGATGTTTATGTTTTATTTTTTCAGAATGTGTCATTAATTATTTCCGCAATTGGAATAATTTGTACTACCCTATTTCACATTTGTTTTAAACTTCGATGTAAAAATGAACGTAAGACTGTCAAAATGGACTCGGATTCAGGAGAAGAAAATCTTTTAAAAAATACAAATTGGAAGTTTTGGTATTTTCTAAAAATGCCTCTGTTATATCAAACGAGTTTGTTGTAAGTACTTATTATTATTAACATACATTCAGTATATAAATAACAATATTAATTATATTTACAATAAAAGTACGAGTAGTAAACGGGATGAAATGAAAGGAAAAATAAAATTGATTATTGCGTCGCCGTGTGTACCCAGGTAATTTTGGTTAAGGACAAGTTTTCTATCGAGTCAACTTCCTTTTTATTACCGATCTATCAGAGAAAATGGTCCTTGAAGTTTCTTCATATTTCATGTATCTTTTAGCGACCATTATATTGCTTTTAAAGCGAAAAGTTAATCGACTACATTAGACAATCGAATTTAAAACCAAATTATATAAACTATATTACTATTATAGCAATTAAAATTTAGCAGCAAAAAATATTTTCTATTAAAAGTATATATGTTTATACATATTATATATCTATCATTATATGATTAATATCATTAAGATGTCGGAAAAAACAAACCGAAAACAGGGCCTTTACTCTGTTTTACTTATATGTATATATCTATATTTGTACCTACTTAATACGTGCTAAATAAATTTTGATATTATACGCTGTTTTAAAAAAAAATACATACACATTTATATATCAAAAACATTTATGAATTTTTGATGTTTAACAAAAAACTGTACCAGAGCAAATCGTAATTAATATACACACATAATAAAGATAACGTACTAAATGGATTTTCTGTAAGATGATTTCTATGTTACAAATTTTTTCAGATATGTTTTCTCACGTTTATATTGGGCGTTAAGTTTAGTCTATGTTCCCTTATTCCTGGAGGAACGGTTATCTGTGAACCCTACTGAAGGTTCAGAGCTGGTAGCCAGCGTACCGCTGGTGCTTTACATCTCTTCGCTATTTTTCTCATTTCTCCTAAAAAGCAACATTGAGAAAATTGGTAACCAGGTTGGTAGCTTGTTATATTTCCAATTTTAACAAACATTTTTAACTGAACAGCAGAATAGTAGGTATTTCAAGACATCTTATTAATTATGCATATTAACTGTTAATATTCTGAATCAAGAAAGTAATAAGTACCGACTACACATTTAAAAAACTTTTTTACGAGTTTAAACGAGAAATTATTCCATAATTTTTACAACTCGAGGTTTTGTATTTAGCGAGTGGCTGAACTGCTGTACCTTTAGCTCAGCGATAAAATTGTTGTTTATTAGTGTTTATATTATATCTCTTACAATAGGTGAATAAGCTGGTAGTAGTATAAATTAGTTGTGAAATATACAATCTTTCCCCTTGATTGTCTTTAATGAGTACCATACGATTGCAGGTTGCTTATTTAATAGGAAGTTTCTTTAGTCTGATTAGTTGCATCTGGATAGCTGTTACTATTGATCCTGAGGCGAATGTTACCCAAATTTATTTGGTGGCAACACTGATTGGTAAGTTTTAGCGTGATAATATTTAAAAAGGGGGCCTCATAGCCTAGCGGTCTTATTAAGCGGCAGCTAGGTGAGGGGTACCGGGTTCGATTCCCGGTTCGAGGGCAAGTTTTAATTTAATTTAAATTTGTTCTCGGCCTTTGGGAGGGTTGTGCGGTACCGGGCGAGTGCTTTAGCCATACATGGAGGACACGGTCGAATTTCTATTATTAAAAAAAATTACGAATTATTAAAAAAATCCTATACTTGACGCTGGCTAATGCACAAAAAAAATTAACAAAAACCGAAGGAGGAAGTTATCACATCGATGTGTAATCTAATACTTAAAATTATATTTTAATTTATTTAATATAGCAACAGTTCTTTAATAAACATTTATACCAATGACATTATAACTTTGTTGACGCAAAAAGAATATATGTATTACTGTACCGTGGGAATCTAATCAATTATGCGGCCTATAAATTGATCAACTTAAACCTGTGAGATTAATTTATGTATTGTGTAGTCTTGTTAGTTATACCAGCCGAATTAATACAATTTTAATAATTTAGTTTTTTTTGTTAATACATGTGTCAAAATATATTATCCTACCTATATTATATAGGTAGGTCATGAATATTTGGTTCAGTTTTAGACAATGGAAACTAACTAATATAATGTTATATAGCGAAATGAAATACCTACATTTATTCGGGACGGCACAAATGGAAGCATAAGCTAGGTGCTGATTTTCAGTAGTCCCGCATTGTGGTAAAAGACGATAGTGGAATTATCATCAACCAATATAACCAATCAAAAAGCATGTCAAAGAAGTTCGGCGAATAATCATAATAATCAATTCTAAGAATATTTCTTCGTATTTCAGGGGCTGGTAGTGCAATTACTCTCGTATCCAGTCTCTGTGTAACGGCTGATCTCATCGGCCCACATTCCCACCAGGGCGCGTCTATTTATTCAATTGTCACATTTGCCGACAAACTGGTCACTGGAATTGCTGTAGTAGCTATTGAAAACTAGTAAGAAACCCATTAAAATATATATACATACTAGCTGCCCCCGCGAACTTCGTTTCTCCTTAATGTGATTTTACTTAACCTACCTTTATAGTACGTACATGGAACATTTTGATATGCTACCCCAGAGACAGTTCGGTTTTCTGGAATGAAAACCTTTAGGTTTTTCTGTGAATTTTTCTCTGTATAAACCTCAGAGTTCAAGTCATAAGATTATATTTTATATATGTAAATATACTATATAATCTTATACCCATCCCATATTTTATTTAAATTAAGAAATAAAAATTAAAGGTTGTATGTATTTTTTTATGCTGTATCATTAAAATTTTTATCTCAAATTAAAAATTTAGGGGTGGACCACCCTTAAAATTTAGGGACGTACTGAATATGCATAAAAAATTTCATAAGAATCGGTCTAGCTGTTTCGGAGGAGTATTGGAACAAACATTGTGACACGAGAATTTTATTTATTTGATAAAGAAAATCCCATCTTAATTTAGTAGTCATCACGTGAAAGTTTCTTTGTATAAGCGACTTGAAGGTGATTTTCTTTATTAAATACGAATTTAATACACGTTTTTGCACCTAACAGACCGCTTACACATGTGAATATTATTCAGTAGTTGGTGTGATTCAATATTGCAATGAACTTAACTTTTTGAATGAATTTATTTTTCAGCAAATGTGATGATGCATTGATCTGTCCTCAATACTACAGGGGCGTTCTAACTTACGCCTGCGGTGGAAGTGCTGTTTTAGGAATATTGTCCTTAGGTTTAACGGCTATAGGAAAAGACAAAAAGAATCAAACTTAAAAATTATAATTTACTAATTACTTCATAACTGTTTTCCTTTTATAAATGAATATTAATTTATTCCTGTTTGATTTAGAAATAACAATAAAGATGTGATATTGTAATAAAAACTGGTTATCTTTACCAACATTTTCAAGAGTTTCAGATGAATTAACTTTTTTTGTTCCCATAGGATAATCTAGTGTGTGGGCAGTGTGAAAAATATGATACTTGTATATCTAAAGTCTAAGTCATACTTGGTCCAAACCAAGTAACCTATAGTATTATATAAGGGATGAACTGTTGTACAGAAAACCAGTTGGAAATGTATAAAATTAATTAAAAAGGGATGCCACTCAGACAGAATTATATTAAACTCAACATAAAACTTCATATAGTAAGGAAATATTTGATTTACTTTTACAAATATCTGACATATTGATGAAAATTTGTCCCAGAAGTAAATTTAAAAAAAAGCACAGAATTTTTACATATATATTTCAAAATCAATTCTACTGGAGCTGTAGAATTGTGAGTCTTCTCCATGCTTCCTGACCCAAACACCTGATTTGAAGTGACCCTCATTTGCCCATTTATTCATTTGACTTGTAGAATGAGGTCCAGATATTTCAGCATTATTGTCTTGGCTCCATTTAAATTCCCATTTTACCTCATTAGAATCTTCATTTTCACTTTCAGCTTTTGTTTCATTCTCTTGGCCCAAAGTTTGCTTTTCTTTCTGGTCGAAGTCATCTGCATACATATCTAATTCTGCATCTTGGTTTTTCTTATCAGATTTTGAAATAGTATTTGTAATTTTTTCATATGTCTCCTGGTAAATATCCATATTACCAGTTTTAGTAAGAATTTGATTTGCCAACTCAGTTACTCTTGTAACAACTTTACTGCCCTCATCAACTATTCCTTGCTTTTTTCTTTTCCACCGGTCTGCACTAGAAATTTTTGAAGCAGCCCCTTAAAAAAAAATATATTTTTGTATAAATACAAAAACCAATTTATAATAAGTTATAGCAATTATTAATTATGAGAATTTAAATTGTATAAGATATAATATATTTTTTCAGAGAGAGCAACTCAAATCTCAATACTAACAGCCCCAAATCAAGCAATACAACATAACAGATTAAAAAATTCAGAAAACATGAACTTGCTCTTAATCTTAGTCAAATCTGTAAATTTAAACTTACATAAAACTAAAAATTAACAATAATAATGCACTCACCTAGTCTCTGTAAACTTTTTGCTATGGTCTCTTTAGGCTTCATATGCTGTAATATTTCTTTATAATTAGATATAAGATCAAATTTCTCTTCTGGTTCTTCATCTTCACTATCACTGTCATCGAGGATACCTTTCATTTCATCATCTTTATGGACTTTATACTTATCTTCTGGCCGCCCTTTTACTTTGACCCAATCTATATTATCTAGCCAACCATCCCGAATCTCCTTCTCCTTTTTCCAATGGTAGTGGCCTTGTGTATCAAAATGTCCTTCTTCCAACTCTTCTTTCATATTAAATGGTGTTATTGTAATCTGTTTTTATTAGAAATGGAACCAATTAGAGGTCTAGAATATTTTCATTTAAGATTCAGCATAATAGTAATAAGAGAGAAAGGTTTTGATGATTAATTCCTTAATGGTTTGATGTTTGGTGACAATGATTATGTCAGTCGAAAAATCTCATTCATAAACTTTTATGCTTTTTGGGTCCCTTTCCCTAATTTATTAGATACTGGAATTTACAGGAAAATGTAACACTAAAAAAAATTATGTAAAGTATCTTAATTAAAGACAATAATTATCTTCCTCTTTGTGTCTGAGGAGCAAGCTAACTGTGATGGTCTCTGGTAGAATACACACTTAAAATGTACCTTATTCCTTTTTTTCTTTCCATCATTTTTTGATATTTTTCTTTTTTGATTATTATTTTGTGTGTTTCTGTGTGAGTGTTTCGTTAGTGATAAATGTTATTTTATTAAAAAACAATAAATATACAATTGACACTTAGACCTTTTAAATTATTTTAATGAATGATTTGTGACCACCTAAATGTTAAATGTCACAGGTATTATAATATTGAATCTTAAATCATAAAGTCTCCACATGCTGAAGTCTTAACTTGAAAAAAATTCAACATGAAAGTGATTAGTAATCAAGCACAGCTTATATCTGCAAAGGCAGCACGATTCTAGTCTTTATTCATACATCTCTAGTAGATACACAATAATTTTTGTATTTTATGTGACTGGTCAAAACCCTTTTGACTTACTTCACCTTCCATTCCAGCAATACCTTCTTCTTCACCTTCAATGTCGTCGGCATTTAAAACATTTTGTTTTTCTTCTTCAGCGGCACTATCCTCTTCATCAGAATCAAGGGAATGTTTTTTTCCATCGATTACCTTCGTTTTAGGTTCGTCGAAAGCAACCGTAGCTGTTCTCTTAGCCATGTTTATTAATTGTTTTAACTTTTTACTTTTAAGGACTTCAGTCTACATATAAGCTAGTACAAAGAACTAAGTACTAACTAGGGATGTGAAAAAATAATCGATTATTAAAAAAATCGATTTTAATCGATTTTTTTTAAAGTAAAAATCGATTTTTTAACGCGATTTTTATATTTAAAATAATCGATTAATAATCGATTATTTTTATAATTGAAAATTAATCATAATCGATTTTTTATCTGCCACCTCCCGACATTATGTCTGGTCTTCTTTAACCCGGACCTCGAACTATTAGGGATATTCGATACACAACGATGTTTACAATGCGATACATTGATGTTTTTTTGTAAAACATCAAAAGGATGATAGAAGCAGTTAATTTTAATTTTTACAAAAAATCTAGTTTGAATGGAACCCTACAATTTAAAAGTAAAATAAATTTATTCAGCAGCACAAGACTACATACAATTAAAAAGACAACAAAAATACTGCAATGTGCTACTGAAAAGGAATACACTCAGCATTTATCAAAATCTATCAAAACGAGATAAAGTTAATTTCGATTTTGATAATTCTTAAACGTTAATTTGTGTTTATAATTTCTATTGTTTATTTTTAATTTAAAAAAACCATGAAAAATAAAATATTTAGGGTGTTTATTTTGAAATTAATTCAAAAATTAGGAAAAAATCGATTAATAAAAAAAAACGATTATTTTTTAAGAAAAATCGATTATTTATTAATCGATTATTCATGCTAAAAAAATAATCGATTAATAAAAAATCGATTTTTTATGCAGAATGTCACATCCCTAGTACTAACTAAATAGTGAATAGTCAATTTATATTATATAGTAAAATAAGTAAATTAACTTGAAAGAGGTACTATAAGTGTTCTGTGAAATGAAATGAAAAAAGAGTAAAAATAGATACACCACAGATATCTATTTAGTACTCTAACAGAGTGTGTACTTGAAATAAAAATATAGAGTAAACATTATACTAGGAAATATAAAATAAATATAATTATTTAAGAAGACATTTACGACTAAAATATGAAGATACGCACTAAATCGATTATCATGCTTAAAATTTTACATACTTTGTCTAATAACCTAATAGAAAAAGCATATTTTAAGGAATTTTGTTTTGTTCAGGTTTTGACAATGTTGGCCTAGTGGCTTCAGCGTGCGACTCTCATCCCAATGGTCGTAGGTTCAATCCCCAACTGTGCACGTGTACCAATGGACTTCCTTTCTATGTGCGCGTTTAACATTCGCTCGAGCGGTGAAGGAAAACATCGTGAGGAAACTGGTTTTCCTTAGATCCAAAAAGTCAACGGCGTGCGTCAGGCACAGATCTGTTTTGATGATCTGAGGCTGATCACCTATTTGCCTATTAGATTACCAAATGATCATGCAACAGATACTGAGGCCTGAAAACGGTGTAGCGCCATTGATTATTATTAGGTTTTGACAATACAAAAGACTAAACTCACAAAAAGCTTAATTCTAATTTTACTACGTAATTTATGCTTTAAAATTGATATTCACTAAAACTTTTAATGAATGGCAACGCCTTTGTGACTTAAAGCGGGGTGTTTTTGAATGTGCAACCGAAGGAAAACAAGACAACAGGCAAAACGAAATCTTAACAGGAGTATTTCTTAAAAGGTTTTTCACAAGTGTGACAGTAATCAGAAATAATCTAAAACACAACCAACACCACCATTACTTAATTTTATACTATGAGAAAATTGATACCTAAATATTATAAAATACATTACAAAGTTTTTGTAATGTACACAGCGTCGTAAGCGGGAATGCTTTAAAGCCTAGGCTGAGGCGGCAACATCCTGTGATCCTACTATCAGCGAACGTAAAAGAGCTTACAACTCAGCCTCCAGGTCCTTCAAACGGGAAATTGCTTAGGCAAATTCAGAGCACATTTGGCCAGAAATTGGCCCACCTCCCTTCGGGAACTTGAGCCACCTGATCTGTTGCCAAAGCTCTCCAAGGAAATTTCTGTCAGCCCTCAATTCCACTACTGCACAGGGAGGATGACTCGCTGGTCCATACCGCGAGGGAGAAGGCTGATCTTCTAGGTTGTCTCTTTGCGTCGAACTCCGCTTTGGATGATCAAGGGAAGGAACCACCGATATTATTGCGGTGATAAAGTTATATTCCGGCAATGTGCCATGCGCAAAGCTTTTATCTTCCATCTTCCTTGGACATCCATAAGTCGGGCGTTAATCCCAAAAAGACACAAGTTTGCGCGTTATCCGCTAAAATAAACACACTTTGTCGCTACTCCTATCTTCGATGATACTCTCCTTATAGCCTCAGCTAGCATCGGGATATACATATCGAATGACGTTCAGCTTCGCGGTCATTTGGAAGAAAAGGCTAAGTTAGCCTCTAAGAAGCTTGGTGTACTTGCAACTCTATAAAGCGTAAATTCGGCCCCACATGGAGTACTGTTCTCACCTCTGGGCGGGAGCTCTCCCCAGTACTAGCTCCATCTGCTTGACCGGATTCAACGAAGAGGAATCATCGACGACCAGTCACTTTCCGAGCACGTTGACCCCTTGGCGTTGCGTGATGATGGATCTCTCTGCATCTATTTACATTACATTCTACCGTATTTACCATGGAGATTTCAGAGGAGTTGTTCGGTATAATACCTGCAGCTGAGTTTTATCATCGGACAAGGATCAAGACAGAATAGAAAATACAAGAACTTAACCATGGAAGCCGCCTAAGAAGTAAGAGTTATAGAGTAGAAAAACCTAGCTCAAAACATTATTATTCTAGTGTATATATTTTGTTTGATTATTTCTTTTTTTTTAGAATACATATTTTCTTCTACATAAAGTAGTAATTACTTGATAATTTATTTTTATCTATATAAATTTTTTGCTAAAGTACAATACTAGCCCAGAAAAACACATAATACCAGTTTTATCTCCTCTTTACCCGTTGGGATGGTCTTAAAAAGTAAAGGACCAATATATTCCATCGGTTTTGTATCAATAGAATAAATATCAAATTGTTGCAGCAGATTATTTTTTAGAGGAGAACATATTGTGCAGAGGTCTGCCCTTCTCCTTCTGGTATTATATAGAAAAAATACACTTTATCAATGACTAAATGAGTTAGCGATAACTTTGCAAAACAGTCATGAATGTATAATTTAATGTCTTATTTACTAATTTAAATAGACATTTGTCCTTTAGGGTGAAATGGTGTATAAAAAAGTAAGTTTGTCTTTTTATACGGGTTTTATGCTTAAGCAATTATTATTCTAAGTTACAAAAGCAGTCGACATAAAATTATATCTCATGGCAAGAGTCAATAGACTAGAGACATGCGATTAATCTAAATATTACTTGTAACCAAAGACAATACAAATGCTTGTACTTAGAACGGAAATTACGTAATAACGTTTTTATAGATGGCAATTTTTTTTAACATTCCAGCAGCGTTGCATTGCGAACAAATGTGAAATGGCAATATGGCTGTAGCTTTCGAGTGTCGGTGGTAGTGCGCGGTATTGAGTCCAATTTTGTAGAGAACAGTGTAATTCTGACGACTTGTACAGTTTCATTTTTGATTTTTTCGCGATAACTATCATTATTTACTCTTGTTTTACCAATTTTAAAAGCAAATTTACTGAATTTTCACTTCCGTCGTCACCATTATTCTAGCCACGACAAAATGGCGTCGCTTGACAAGTTTTTCACTAAAATTTTTATTTTCACATTTCTTGTTAATGAGTAAAATTATATAAAACAAAATATTTTTTCTTGTTTATTATGATTTCAATTAATTGATTAAAGCATTTTACTTGATTTTACCTCACGCATAATATATGTTACGACGTATTCCATGAAATTTCTGCAAAATGCTCTCGGTAAGTGTTTTTAAGCATTATTTGTTATTGTTGTGGTGATTTTTTCGTTAATTTTATTGTTTTTGAGGTTTTAATTACTAAGGAATGTTCTGGAAACTATGGGTGTGGCACTAAAATTAAAGAAGATTTTGAGACGTAGAAGCGAAAATATCGTTTTCTACCGTTGTTTACATTACATTTTTAAGTTTTTATGTATTAAAATGTAATTGTTCCACGCTAGGAAAGGAAACCTTTAATACTTTGTTACGTAATCTTTCATAGGAGCTACATTAAATTTGATTTCTTTATGGACCCATTTTAGCAATTTCACTTTGAAATTTAGTCTTGATTTGAAGTGTAAAGGTATACAGACAAGCCTTAGATTATAGGGCATGTATGTAATAAATAATTTTTGGATTGGGCTTCTTAGTATGAAAAATATTTAATATTTATATCTAGATATTTGGTAAAGGGAAATTTAAACTATTTTTTCATATTTTTTTTGTTTATTTTTTGTTCGATGTACAAGATAGGTTTGATTCGGTTGAATTTTAAATATTCTGTGTTTTAGTTCATATACAATGGCATTAAATGTATTGTGAAATTTAACATGACAAAGTGAAGTAATTATTAGCAGTTTTTTAATAATTTCATCGTTTCTTGAATATTAAGAGAGTACCACAGTATACTATTAGAATGACAGTCACATGTATATTATTAGAAAAAGAGATTTTTTGCTTTTGGAAATAAAATCTTCAGTTTTACTACATTGTTTAAATATATGTTAAAAATGAAGTTTAAATTTTTTCTATAAAAGTTTTATATTTTTGTCATATATTTATTTTTATTTTTTAATAACTAAATGTTATGGTACCATTACAACAATTGTTTAGTCAGTAGCATAAGAAATGTCAAATGATATATTAATAGCTATAAATGCATATAATATTATGCTAAAATTTTACAAAGTATATTTGTTTTAGAAGGGCTTTATGAATGAATCTGAGAGTGAGTCTACAAGTGAAAAGGGTGAGAAGACAGACTCCAGTGGATCTGGATCCGGAAGTGAAAGGTAATTTAATATCATTATTAAATTTCTTTGATTGGTAAAGAATTTTCCTTATCTAATGGTGTTTGTTAGTGACAGTGGCTCCAGTTCATCTGGTTCAGCTTCGGGTGCCAACTCTGGATCAGAAAAATCTTCAAATGCAGGGCAATTTCACTTCAGTGAGGATGGCAAGTCATCACTAAAAGATAGTCATGCCAATTCATCTAAATCTGATCACCACACTGATAAGGATTCATCTGATGATAGCATTAGACAAAAATCCCGAAATAATCATGATAAAATAAAGTCAGATCTTTGGGAGGATAACCCTGACATTTATGGTGTAAGAAGATCTGCAAGGTCTCGTAAAGAACCAGATAGGTTAAAGTTGGCAGATAGTGACTCTAGCGACAAAGGAAGAAGTAATGGTAGAAGAAATAGAAAGAAGAGGTAATTCTTTTTTAATTAATACTTTTTGATGAATATTTTATATACATTGCAAACTTTTTTTAAATAGGAGTAATTGGTTTGCACTACTGGTTCACTTTCAACTGGTTCTCATGAATTTTTGTTTTTTAAGGTTTTTGTTTCTAAATACAATAAAAATAATCAGATTTATAGCTTAAGGAGTCCAACCATCTAACATTTCAACTACACAATATTTCTTGAAATATTGTGTAGTTGTAGAAGTAGATAGGTTAGGGCCTCAGATACTAGTAAAATCCATTGCCTTTTTTGGATTTCTGTTTTCTGAACCATTGTTATTAAAAATGATGTTCTATATCTTATCTTAACATAACTTTACCACAATTATAATGACGGACGTCTTCGTTACCATTCTGTTTACGTTGCGGCTTGAAGGACCATTTCAAGATTTTATAAGGATAGTTGGTTTCTTAGCTATCCAAGTTAAATATAACCAGATTGTTTGATTTTAGTGATTCCTGGAATTCTGATTCCTCAGATAGTGATAGTGATATTAAAGGGTCACCACCCCCACCTTCCAAAAGACCAGGCCAAAGAGGAGTACCATTAAGAAAAAAGAAACCAACAAGAAGAAGATTTACTAGTGATGATGAAGATGAAAGTAGTGAACTTTCAGATGACACAAAAAGGTAAAGACAATATTGATTTTATTGGTTGCTACACCTTATATTTATATATATCTACTATATGAACATTATTTGTCTAGTCGAACCGCCACACGTCGCACGGGAGCTGCTGTTAGTTATAAAGAAGCCAGCGATGAACAAACAGATTCCTCGGATTTGCTGGAAGTGGATAATGTTGAGGGCGAGATGGAAGCTGAGCCTGAACCTGAAGAACACAGTGAAACAATAGAAAAAATACTTGGTATTCGACGCGGCAAAATAGGAGGTATGTAATTTATTAAGGACGTAAATTTTTCAAATATTATTATGGATATAACTTATAGCCTTTTATGGTATAATATATAGACATTATCTTCTTTTTTTAATAACATTTGCAGTCAAGTATAAAATTTTAGCTAATTGCTTCTTATTGTGCAGTCACGGGAAATGTGACTACAGTTTACTATATAGAAGAAAATGGTGATCCAAATAAGGATTGCAATCCAGACGATGAAGAGACTACAGAACCACAGTACCTCATTAAGTGGAAGGGATGGTCCCACATACATAATACATGGGAATCTGAGAAGTCGATTATGGAACAAAAGGTTAAAGGGTTGAAAAAATTGGAAAACTATAAGAAAAAGGAATCAGAGTTAGCATGGTGGAGAAAACAAGCTGGGCCAGAAGATATTGATTATTTTGAATGTCAATCAGAACTGCAACAAGAATTAGTCAAGTCTTATAATTTTGTGGAGAGGATATTTGGTAAGTGTACTAAATAAAGTATTTCAATTTAGATCCTCATAAAACAGGGCATTTCACAATTATAATTCTTTTAGCTGAACAGACTCGGGAGCTTGAGGGAGGTGGAACAGCACATGAATATTTTTGTAAATGGGAATCACTTCCATATGCTGATGCAACATGGGAAGATTCTGCACTTATAGAAAAGAAATGGCCTGAACAAGTTCAGCATTTTAAGGCTAGGGAAGCAGCAACAACAACCCCATCTAGACATTGCCCTGTTTTGAGACGAAGGCCAAAATTCCATCAAGTTAAAGAACAGCCAGAATACATGGGTAAAGACCAGGTACTAATTGTATTAATTAACTAAGTGATTAATAAATTATATAAATAATAGTGTTTACAAATATTGTATTCTAACTTTACAAATTTTGTTTTCAGACATATATATTAAGAGATTATCAAATGGATGGGTTAAACTGGTTAATACATTCCTGGTGTAAAGATAATTCTGTTATTCTTGCCGATGAAATGGGTTTAGGTAAAACTATTCAGGTAAATTGATTTTACTTTTTCTTATTCTTATTTTATTGTACTGATTAATAAAAGTTCTTACTATTTTTAGACAATATGTTTTCTGTATTACTTGTTCAAAACACAACAATTATATGGACCATTCCTTTGTGTAGTACCATTAAGTACAATGACTGCATGGCAAAGAGAGTTTACGCAGTGGGCGCCTGATGTGAATGTTGTTACCTATATTGGAGATGTCTCTAGTAGAGATATTGTAAGTAATATTTGTTAATGATGTTATATTTTCCATAAAAAGCAGAATATGTAAATAATATAAAAAAAAACTTAATTGACTCAAAAAAAACATTACATTTGTACTTACATTAAATAGAACATACAAGATTGTAAATATTCACTATGCTACGAATCGTTGAGGTACAATATTCATTGTGGATATATTTATAATATTTGTGTTTTTCAGATCAGACAATTTGAATGGAGTTTTGCTAGTTCAAAGAGGCTAAAATTCAATGCAATCTTGACAACATATGAAATTTTACTAAAAGACAGACAATTTTTAAAAACTTTCAGTTGGGCTTGCCTGCTTGTAGATGAAGCTCATAGGTTAAAAAATGATGATTCACTTTTGTACAAGGCACTTAAAGAATTTGACACAAATCAAAGGTTACTAGTCACAGGAACACCTTTACAGAATTCACTTAAGGAATTATGGGCTCTACTTCATTTTATTATGCCTTACAAGTAAGATATACTTTTTTAAAAACACATATCTTTTTAATGTTTTATCATAATCAGTGTTATAAGTTATTGTAACATATTTTTTCCAGATTTGAATCTTGGGAGGAATTTGAAAAAGATCATGAAGATGCAGCAACGAAAGGCTATGAGAAACTCCACAAACAACTAGAGCCATTTATATTAAGACGACAAAAGAAAGACGTCGAAAAGTCCCTACCCGCTAAAGTAGAACAAATATTACGAGTAGAAATGACGTCAATACAAAAACAATATTACAAGTGGATTCTTACAAAAAACTACAGTGAATTACGGAAAGGCGTAAAGGGTTCAACAAACACATTTATCAATATTGTAATAGAGCTGAAAAAGTGTTGCAATCATGCTCTTTTGACGAAACCGGAAGATTTTGAATCACGGGCGTCACTTGCGACAACTGATGCAGTCGAGGTATGATTTTAAACAAATATAATGAAGCATGAATGTCATGAAAAAAAAACATATATTCTATTTATATTTGCAGAAACTATTAAGAGGATCTGGAAAATTATTATTGCTAGATAAATTGCTATGTAGACTTAAAGAAACGGGTCATAGGGTATTAATTTTTTCACAAATGGTTAGAATGTTGGATATACTAGCAGAATATTTGCAAAGGAGACATTTTCCTTTTCAAAGACTGGATGGCAGTATAAAAGGAGAGTTAAGAAAGCAAGCTCTTGACCATTTTAATGCTGAAGGATCTCAGGACTTTTGTTTCTTGCTTTCGACTCGAGCAGGAGGCTTGGGAATTAATTTAGCAACAGCTGATACTGTGATAATATTTGATTCAGACTGGAATCCTCAGAATGACTTACAAGCTCAAGCAAGGGCTCATCGAATAGGTCAAAAAAATCAGGTAAATTTTATTGAAAAACTAAAAAAATTATAGATCGTTTTTTCAATTTAATTTTTGAACGATATTTGTAGGTCAACATTTATCGGTTAGTAACTGCCAGGTCCGTCGAAGAAGACATCGTAGAGAGGGCTAAACGAAAAATGGTACTAGATCATCTCGTGATCCAGCGAATGGACACTACTGGTAGAACTGTCCTTAATAAACGCGATGCGTCCGGTACAAGTGCTAATAATCCGTTCAATAAGGAAGACCTCAATGCTATATTGAAGTTTGGAGCCGAAGAACTGTTTAAAGATGATGATGAAAATGATGAAGATCCAGTCGTGTGTATATTTTTTACGAATGTTTTCTTTTTTAGTATCAAGTGGCCCCAAATATTTTAAAGTTTTGTTATTATTGCAGTGTGATATTGATGAAATCTTACAACGAGCTGAAACACGAGATGAAGGGCCTGCTATGGTGGGAGATGAATTGCTTTCTGCTTTTAAAGTAGCTAGTTTTGCATTTGATGAAGAAAAGGCTGTCATGGGCGTGAAAAAAGACGGAGGAGACGAAGAAGGCAAAGATTGGGTACGGACGCTATTTTATCTAACATTATAATTTCATGGATTGTGTTTACAGTAGTGTATAATATTATTTTACTTTAGGATGATATCATACCAGAAAATGTCCGAAAGACGTTAGCGGAGCAAGCGAAAACCAAGAAAATGGAGGATCTATATCTACCGCCTCGAAGAAAAACGCAACAAAACAATTTGAACAGTAAGCTATTAAATTTTAAATTGTTAAGACATTTTTCTTGTAACAAATAACAATCGGTATACTTTTAGCAGTTTCGTCTTATTTTCTACAATATTTTAGAAACTACCCGCATTGAGTACAGCTATAAGTTTTAATTTCACACAGATTATTTGGTATGTATGTGACTATAGATTGCATTGTATATAAAATTGGTTTTTAGAATACAAGCTACGTATAATAATTATGTGTATGGTGTTCTTTATTACAAGGTCATGTTCATATTGTATTGACGTCAAATCCGACGTCCGCCATTTTGTTGATCGCGGGGAATCAAAATGGCGAAATTTTATTTGGTTTGGGCCATTCAATGAATTCAACTTAGCGGACTATTTTTACGTTCCTTTTCTGTTTGTATTAGTTCATGTACTATATTATCTTAACATGGAAAATTTCCGAAATGTTCTTTAAAGTTCAAGATATCCGTACTTTAAATTTTTTTACCTTAGTTCTATTTCTGGCTCAGAAGGTGATCGCAGGAGACGTGGCCGGGGTGGTGAAGCTGACGGTGCCGATGGGGCAGACGGAGACGCTGACGCTGATGATTCGGATGTTTCTGACGCTGATGTCAGTGCTGATGATGACCGCCCTAGGAAACGTGGTCGGCCACCGGCCAGCCACAGGGAGAAGATCAAGGGCTTTACAGATCAGGAGGTGAGTTCATCAATGTCTTTAAATGAATAATCATTATGTTTTAGAACTAGACTTAAGACCCACATCTACAAGGCGCTGTGTTACAAAAGATACGGTCAATGTAGGCTATTGGGGATAATTTGTGTACCTGCGTCTCACGATTTCCGTTTCTCGGGGACCTCAATTTAACATCTGGTGTCCAATGAGGTTCCATTAAACAATTATGATATTTTCTTTACAGATAAGACGATTTGTGAAGAGTTACAAGAAGTTTTCGGCGCCATTGAAACATTTAGATAGCATTGCTTGCGATGCAGAATTACAGGAAAAACCTTTAGCGGAATTAAAGAAGTTAGGAGAAATTCTTCAAGACAGGTGTAGATCGGTTCTCAATGACACAGCTGATACTTCGAGTAAGTTTTATAATACATAAGTTTAAATAATTCCAATCAAAAAAACCTTTGGTTCATAAATGAAACCTACAGTTATTACTGAAAAAGTAATAAGGTAAGGCTTCATTTTTTAAATCTTCAAACAATATACGAAATAATAGGTTTTGTTGTACTCAACTAACCTTCAACTTGATATTGTTTCTTTCTAGATGATCATAGCGATGGCCGGAAAAATGCAAGAAAATCGTTTAAATTGGGCGGCGTGTCTGTAAACGCCAAGACGATGGCAGCATGCCAAAATGAACTCGCGCCATTAGATGAATTTCTTCCCGAAACTAAAGAGGAAAGACTTAAGTGGCATTTAGATTTTAAGTAAGTTTCACAAGATTTTCAAATAAAAATTCATTCTTTGTGACAATTGAATTTAAAAATGAAATAAAATGTTTTTATTCAGAACGCGACCGGCTAATTTTGATGTCGCCTGGGCCGTAGAGGATGACTCTAAACTACTTGCAGGCATTTACCAATATGGTTTGGGATCCTGGGAGGCTATAAAAATGGATTCATCCTTTGGTATTGGGGATAAAATATTAACCAATGAGGATAAGAAGCCGCAAGCAAAGCATTTACAATCGAGAGCCGATTATTTACTTAAGCTAATCAAAAAGTTGCTTGACCAGAAAAATGGTAAACAGAAGCAAAGAAAGCCGCGTATGAAGCGGGGCACTAAAGAGCCAGTCACCAAAGACATTGTTGAAGATGATGTCAGTTCTGGTGATGATCATAAAAAGAATAACAGGGCTGCAAAGGAAAAGGTAAAACAATTGAATTAAATATTAAATACATCGTATTTAAGACTACTGATTTATATTGATATAATACAAGTACGAGTTTCTATCTAGTTTTATAATCATTGTTTATAAAAGCATACAATTATATTTTTTTATGTAAAATTTTTAGGGTAAACTCAAAATGGAAGAACTATTAACACACGATGAAAACTCGTGTGAAAGAAAGGAAAAAGATAAGAAAAGGTCAAAGAAAGAGGGTAAAGACAGGACAAAAAACGACAAGGTTAAAAAGAATAAAAAACCAGCCGGACCTATGCATTTTACTGCAAATAATGAACCGCGGGCTTTAGAAGTATTAGGAGATTTAGATCCATCCGTTTTTGAAGAGGTAAATTAATATTCCTTCCTTTCCTTTGTGAGTCTGTTTGCCAAAACCTTATGTATCCACAAGTAGTTGGAACACAGGGACAACTCATATAAAGTACTAATTGATCCTGTAAAATATTGTGTTAGAGAAATTGTTGTTTTCTTTTCTATAATATACCTATTTAATACATATTTCACATTTTAGTGTAAAGAAAAAATGAGGCCAGTTAAGAAAGCCTTAAGAGCCCTTGACAATCCAGATCAAACTTTATCAGAAACAGAACAAGTATCGAGAACAAGAGCATGCCTCTCGCAAATCGGAAGTCAAATAGATATCTGTTTAGACGCTTATCCTGACCCTGAAAAGAAGGTTGAGTGGAGAAGTAATCTCTGGTACTTTGTCTCCAAGTTTACAAACTTTGACGCAAAGCAATTGTTTAGGTTATATAAATATGGTCTCAAAAAAAGTGATACAAAGCATAAGGATGGAAAACACAAGGAAAATGTTAAGGTATGCACTTTAATCACTTCATAAATGTGTTTTTCAAAACCAGGTGTATTTAATTATTATTAATTTTCAGGGAAATTCCAGAAACAATATTAATTCTAACAATCACATAAAATCAAAAAAAGATGGCAGAAACGATGAAAATTCCGAGCGAAAGGAGAAACGACAGCGGCTTGAGAAATCTGATAAAAATAATGATAAAGCTGCACACGCTTCGGGTGTTAAGAGAAAATTGGAAGAGGGTGAATGTGATCCTGATCCAAATGATAGTAAAAGACATGAAAGGTAAATAAAAAAAAATCATTTTCCACAACTCCAGATATATAATAAAAACATATTTTTTCATACTATCTATTTGCTTAATTGTATTAGACAGCTCCAGCTTTATTTCATTTACGTAACATGCATGATTCTATCATCCTACCTCGGCATCACTAACACTTCCTGCTCATCATCTCGCTTCGCCACAGACATAAGCACAAGCATAAGGATCGCAAGTGTAGGGATGGAAGCCTGAAGCGAGATGATTTGTCCCATAGGGAGCGGAGTCGGAGCGAGCGGGAACGGGAGCGGGAGAGGGATCGAGACCGGGAGCGGGATCGTGATCGAGAGAGGGACCGGGATCGAGAACGAGATCGGGAACGGTCGAGAACGAGGCGGGATAGCGGAGGTGGCGGACCCCGAGTGCGACAACCGTATGCACATCCGCATTCGGAACATCCCACACACGGTCATCCGCCTCACTCCACTCACCCCGCACACCCTGGCTGGACGCCTCCAGCCTATCCGGGCCCCAGGCAGTACCGGAGCGATCGGAATCCGAGAACACACGATAAGAGAAGGTATAACTGTACTTTTGAAACTTAACTTCTTTACTATTATTATTATTTACACATGTGTTTTTAAAGGTATGTCATTCTATTTGTAATTCTTAGCAGGTTTGGGGGTTATCCTCCCATGGGAGGCGGACCCTACAGTGGGTACTACGACGGGGCGACAATGCCGGGCAGCATGGGATTCCCGCCCGTGAGGCCATATCCCGAAGACTGGCGGGGCTACGCCCAGCCGGAGTACCCCTACGATGACCGGGAATATGAACGTGAGGTCTATCGACGAGACTACGATAGACGCGCCCCACCTACATAGCTCACGAGTTAGCGATCTTGGACGCTTTGTAAATACGTAACTGTAAATAAAATAGCTGTTAGAGATTTCTTTCCACGGACACTGGTTTAACCGTAAAGTGTAAGTGACAAAAGTGCTGTGTTTTTATCTAAGTGATAACTAAGCAAGGAATTGGACCTGAGCCAAGGGTTACGATAATGATGACTTTGTGAGTAAGACTGTATAGTAAATTTATTTATTACCAAGTCTGTCGAATACGTGTACAGATTTAGATGTAGATGGATACCATTAATTTTATATTGTTTCAATTGTGTTGCCAATCTATAAAATTCATATTTTTTTATCTGGTGTATTTATTTGATGTTTCTGTTTTATAGATTCTTGACAAGTGATATAAATAGTTCAGAGTCGGTGTATAATATGATAGCTTGTTTCCAAATATAATAAAATCATGTGCAACTCTGAAATATGTATAATTAATGTAACGCAGACGAGAATCACAAAATTTTGTCATTGCATTTTCGCAGTGCACTGGAGAGAGTTGTTTCATTTCTCATATACATATGCATTTCCGAGTCCAATAGGGCTCGTATGGTCCTATTTTTATACAAATATGTAAAGTCTTTCTCTGTTACATAAAATTTTATGTAAATTTTATGTAAAAATTGAATGTAATAAGTGAAAACGTCTTAATGTGGTGTAAACCATGATAATAAACTTATTAAAATTGTTAATGTAATTTATTTACTTTCCTTTCGCTTCACGGTCACTCAATATGTTTACGCCGTGTATTTACGTAATACCATGTAGAATGCACTGCATTGTCCGTGGTTCTATTTATGTATACTTTAATATCGTATACATAAATATAGATAATTAAATTTTTCACGATTTTCACAAGGAGACTGTTTTTCATAAGTAAACTTATTTGACAAAATAGATTAATAGATAGTTGAATTGTCGCGATTGCCACAATTATTATCGAACAAATTGAAAGAAAATATGATTATTAAAAAGTCAGCTATTTATAAATAATCTCAATTAATAAACAAAACAAAGTAGGTACAAGTGTACCTACGCTTATTTTATACTATAGTTCTGTGAATCTATCTGGCCATTGTTCCATTAACAGTAGTTATAAAGTGTAGTGTATTTTTATTATTTCCTTAGGACAAACTCCCTAGGCCATTATGGATTAAATAATAATATTGTATATTCGCATTTTCAAGCAGGTACACTTTTCAAATGCCTTATTATTATTTAAATATGAGAAATCAATTTCGTCCCCCCAATACTCCATCTAATTTCACTATGCCCCCACTGATCACTATTTATCAATGATTTTCGCGCATGCCTCGTAGTGCTTTCGGCGCCAAAGCTGCAGACCAGTTTCTAGTTGTGGTAATAAAAGAGGCACGCGTTTCTACATATCTGATTTGAATCCTGACAATAATAGCCTAGCAAGGCGGTGTAAAGATTTGTGTACAAAAACATCTGCGATTAATTAGATTAGTACTATTGAGTAATGGCTGAGTATTACTTTATCGATTAAAGTTCCTGCTGTACGTAGATAATCTTAATGACATACAATTTACAAATGGTAAGAATAAAACATAAATTATATTACTTTATTTATGTATATTTTTTAATGAATCATTCATATAGGAGCACTTTTAGGTATATTTCTCTAGCTAACGTGTAATTACCCACAACACAGAAACTGTTTAACACTGTATAAGTTACAAAGACGAACCCTAAACGTAATCATACGTTGTAAATTCAACTAGACCATGTGGGGGAAGCAGTTCATTTTAACAATACTCATATCAACAACATTCGGATGCTATATATTTCCTAGCGGTAAGTCTATTTGATAATATGCATTCATTAATTTTATAGTGTTATCTTCTTCATTTAACAAGAGTTAAATGTCTTTTTTGAGTCAAATACTAGAGCAAAATTTTCTATGCCGTAAATTATACTGACTGTAAGCTGTCACAATGTTTCGTAGATAATAATATTTGTTACAGTTTATTGATGTGTTGTGGCAGACGTGCCGGATCCGTGCCGGGGTGTGAAGTGCGGCCCTGGAGAGTTGTGCAGACCCACATCCGATGGACGAAGTTACATTTGCGAGTGTCCGCCCTCCTGTCCTAGCTATGGGGACCACGATGGAGCCCAACCACTTTGCGGCAGTGATGCTAGGGATTACAACGGTGAATGCGAGATGCGACGAGCTGCTTGCGAAGCAAACACTAATATAACTTTTAAATATTACGGAAAGTGTGGTGAGTTATTTCTTAGGTAATTAGATAGTTGGGTACCTCTTCTGTTGCCTAAGTAACAACTAACACATCGTTAACATTGCTGTCTTTAGGTTGACTGATGATCTGTAATTAAGCTGGAGGGAATTAGACACTTGTTTACTAATTACTTGTACTAAAACATCAATTGAAAAACATTTTTAGATCCTTGCGCAGGAGTTACCTGTCCAGATCCAGAAGTTTGTCAGTTAGACGAAAAGAGATCTCCTTCCTGTCGATGTGCAGAGCCTTGTTCTCTAGAATTTTCTCCCGTTTGTGCGTCTGACGGCAAAACATACTCTAACGAGTGTCAGATGCATAGGGAATCCTGTCGAGCCAGAAAACAGTTGAAGATCATTTTCAAAGGGCAATGCAGTACAGGTAACATTCTTAACATATGAACATACATTATTTACTTATAATACATATACTGTGTCCATATTCATTAATTCTTAGATCGTCTTTAATTATAACTAGGTAAGAGATGTAATCATTACAGTGGCGAAACTTAGATTAAACAAATTTGTATATTAAAATTAGATATTATTACTTACATTTAGTTATTAGTTTATTACTCCTGGATTAGACCCTCGGTGAGGCGTTTAATTTACATAGCACAAAATATGAGACAGATGCTGAAATATAAGGTAGGAGAAAGACTTCGACTTTATATTTTGCTCTACAACGACCTAGTCAAAGTAACCTACTAAACGCTCAGTTTCAGTGTAAGTATAATAATTTATGAAATAATCTTTCCTTTGCGCGCAATCACCAGGGCGTTTTTAAAACAAACCTTTCTCGTAGATATTAACGTTTAATGATATGTGAAACTCATTTGGCAAGATTTGCGCTATACCTACTTATAATAGGTGAAAACCAAAACACATCTAGTTCTCTTGCATTCTTTTTGCATGAAAATACTTATATAAAGTCTATCTTGGTAGGTGTAAACCCATGTGCAGAGGTGGAATGTCGTCACGGCGCGGAATGTCGAGTTGAAGGCAGCGGCGCAGTGTGCGCGTGTCCGACACCCTGTGAACCCGTACTACGGCCTGTGTGTGGTTCGGACGCACGCACTCACGACAGCGAGTGCGAATTGCGCCGTACTGCATGTCTTCTTGGTAGGGAGCTGAAGGTGCTGCATGCCGGAGCTTGTGGTTTGTATGCGTCTGTTTTTTCGCTGCTTGCTTGAAAGTTGCTATTTACCTACTATTAGTGTGAAATAAGATGCAGAAATCTGAGACCCATTAAAAGTTGGAGTACCTATGGATTATTATTTGTTATTTTCTATGTATTAGGTTCAAACGGCGTTTGCGCAGATCGTAACTGCCCTCACGGCGGAGAATGTGTGTCCTCTGGCGGTCGGGGTGTTTGTAGATGTCCTCGCTGCTCCAACGAATTCGCGCCTGTTTGTGGATCAGACGGAATTTCATATGGGAACAGATGCAAATTGCAATTGGAAGCTTGTAGACATCGACGTGACGTCCAAGTACTATATGACGGGCCCTGCAGTATGTATAGATCCATTATAATACAACGAAAGAATGGCCCGAACGTCTTCCGTATTACCTTTGTTGCTAAATAGGTACTACAGAAACCACAGAGCGTATAACATGAGGTTTTCGCTTGGATAGTTTTTTTAGCCAATTTTTTTATTTTATTGCTGCAGTAATAATCAGGAAAAATTGTTATGGGTCGTGCGCTGTAGGTATGCTGATCACTTACGAAATGGCCCCATGACTCACTCATTTATACTTCCACACGCTTTTTTTTTTATATATGGGCCAGGAGGCAAACCAGCAAGCACTTTTAGTAAAGGTATAACCGCCGCCTATGGACATGGACACCTGCAACACCGGGTGCTAGCGGTACGCTCTTTTCTTGAAGGTATTTAAGTCGTATCGGTTTGGAAATACCTTTACCGGCAGCTGATAGAGTACATCAGATATTGAAATTATTCGATATGAATGCTAAATTACTTGCCCATTCTATAAAACAAAAGCAGAAATGTGTCTATTCCATGCACTATGAGCTTATGTATTGGATAGTAATATTTTATCAACGTAAGTGTTGAAGAAAGGAGTGAGGACTCTGACGATTCGAAGACCCCACGAATTGTTATTCCAGATGGTTGCGAGAATAAGAAGTGTGATTTTTATGCTGTATGTGAGAGCGATGGAGTCTCAGAAGCCAGTTGTGTGTGCCCTAAGCACTGTGAAGAAGGGACTGTAAGTATTTATTTCAAACCACATTTACTTAACATAACAACCATAGCTTTCTTGACATAGTGTTTAACGCAAACGTCAAAGTAGAATAATTAGACAAAGCCAAGGCGCTGGTTAGCCCATAGTAATAAAATATATATATATATATATATATATTTTCTTTTATTTTTGCAACAGTTAACTGGAAGAGATCGCTCGAAAGCGATAAGGCCGCCATCCAGTTGCCTTCCTTTTCATTTAATTTTGTAAATTTTATTATGTTATTGCAACGAAGTATTAATAAAATAAATAAATAAATATATATGTATATTATGATTTTTATATGAAAGTTTAATTCGTTGAAAATTCTCACCATTCAGGACAATAAAACAGTGTAATTTCGTTTTTAATATATTTTGTTGTAACTGTGTTGCTCTTAATATTTTTTAAAGGAAACTGAGGAAGTATGTGGAAACGATAATCAAACATACAGTAGCGTGTGTTCTCTCCGTAACAAAGCTTGCCGTGAAAAGAAACGAATTTTTGTGAAGCACATGGGTTCTTGTGGTATGATAAATTTTTATGTTATCACGTTTTATTTTTAGCATCTACAATCTGTATATTACAATTTTTTTAAGAGGCTCGCTTCAGTGCAAGAGATACTTTATTTGAAAATCCCTGTTTTATCATGGTCGTAGTGTCGTCGGTATTATGTGAATACTGTAGAATTTAAATTTTACCTAAATTTTGCAAATAAGGAAAAAATTGGTCATGCATCTTGTAATGAATAGTAAAATTATCTCTTCTTATACTTATTATATATTTAGCTGTCTAAAATGAATAACTCTTCCCCAACAGAATCCTGCCAGAATGTCCAATGCCCCAACGGTATGTGGTGTTCCCGAGGGAAATGTGCGTGTTCGGGTCATTGTGAAAGTGGGGCTCATGAGCCAGTCTGCTCTGATACAAAACAGACATTTCCTAACGAATGTTTCCTACTACAAGCCGCTTGCGAAGCCAAAATGAGGGGAGAATCGGCTATACGGGTTGCATATTATGGGGAGTGCTCGGAAGCATTGGATGATAATGGCAATTCTGGTATGTTGATTGTGTGACCATATAAACTTAACTGATTCAAAACATGCGAATATGCCAGTATAAAATGTACCGGTATTTGGATGGTTCTTTTTTTGTTTTTGCTAATTTAAATTAATGGCGAATACAGTTTCTATTGAATAAATTTCCTGGTCTAACGCCTGTGTACTTGCTCATATAGTGAAGCCTATATAAATATGCACACATTAAAGACTGGTTCCATAATATCTAAATCGAAATAAGTTGACTATGATAGGTTGATCACCTATTTGCGTAAACATTACCAATAACACATATTGTTAAAATCATAAACTATATTTGCAGGCAACAAAACAAAACCAAGGGACAGCAATGATATAGTTCACGGAACGGACACAGTGAAAGTGGCTACTGGAGCCGTATGCGCAAGAGTGCAATGCGCATATGAAGCTACATGCGCAGTAGATGGAAATGGCCAACCGCGTTGTGCATGCCTGTTTGATTGCGCAGCCGCAAGCGCAATATCCGCTCCGGTTTGCGCATCCGACTTGCGACTGTATCCCAATTTGTGTCATATGAAGCTTGAAGCATGTCGCCGACAGGAGGATTTACGATTAAGACCCTTAGCGCTTTGTCGAGGATTAGAGGTGTGTAATTAACTATGTTTTACGACCATTTTGTACAGCATACATGGGTAATTTATGGCAAATCAAGTAACCTCATCATTTTATATAAAGTTAGCATCTGATATTCATCCAAAGTATTTTTACATTGATAATTCACTAAGTCTTTAACAACCAAGGTAAAACCACCATAAGATACATTTTATGTCATGTCTGCATATTGAAATAAATCATTAATTATTATGTAAAGGTACAAACAAAAACTAAAAGTTTCCAATGAGAATGTAATAACTACATATGTACGAGTACATTACCACAACCACCGTCGCGAGGTTTTTAATCAGTTACGAAGGTGTTTAAGGGTCGCACAGAACCAGATTTTCGAAATAGTTTAAAATGTCTCCTGTTAGGAATCCTGTTAGTCTCAATCTTAATGAAATTTTAAAATTATTTGAATAGTTCCGACCTTGCGGTGATGACGAGCCGCTGACTGATGCTGAAGGGCGAATAATGGACTGTGGGGGTGGACCACATCGTAAAGACTGTCCTGCGGGCAGTTACTGCCATCACACGGCAAAAGCGGCTAGGTGTTGTAAAAAAGGTATATTATATACTAGTAGACTCGGCCAAGCGTTGCTGTGGCTAAGATTTTTGTTATATTACATAGTAGTAAACTATTCAAGAGAAACGGCAGGAGATCACCAATCCACCATGATTTTTTGGTGGTTATGCCATTAAATTGTAGCTTATGTGAGGCGTTGGTATTTATTTTGATAAGGATCAATACCTAGGTACGAATAAAGAGCCTTTTCTAGCGGTGGTATTTTAATAAAAAAAAATTAATAAAAGGACGCTTATTGTGACGTAACTATAAAAGATAGAGACATGCTGTTGCGACATTTTTTAAAGATAGTGATGTGTCCTGAAAAATTGAAATACATCATTTTGTTCTATCATTACTGCGAAAACCGCAGCGCACGCGATTGAAGGAAGTTTTTTGTTTATTTTTTTACACCTTGTGTTAGATTATTCAAGTTTTAGTAAGCATCCCTAATTTTTTTGAAAAATGAAACATGTCACTCGGGAATAGTGTAGCTTGCCAACGGTGAAAGAATTTTTGAAATCGGTCCAGTCGTTTCGGAGCCTATTCATTTCAAACAAACAAAAAATCAAATCTTTCCTCTTTATAATAATAGTATAGATGAAATCTTGCAAAAATCGTTATCGAGTAGTATGTAAACCCTAAAATTTCATATATATTTTAGAAAATGTATCCGGTTTTATTTATATTTTATAATTATTTACGTGTAATTATAAAACTATTATCTGTGTGTGTAATGAAAAAATATACTGCTTTGGAGCGTGTGTCAAATACGTTTTCCCCACCGGCAAGCCCTGGACCAAAAAATCGGCGGCATGTGTCAGACACGGAAGGCTGATCACCTGTTAAGGAAAAAACTTATCACGAAAATGACACATAAATCTGAGATCCCAATCCTATTAGGTTGTAACGCCACTGGTTTTTTAACCTTTTCCATAGACAAAGGTGTAATAGAGAAGAAAGACTGTCAAGAATCATGGTATGGATGCTGTTCAGACGGTATCACACCAGCGAAGGGTCCAAGTGGAATAGGATGTCCATCTCAATGCGGGTGTCATCGCCTTGGGTCAGAGAATGAGCAATGTGATGGTGAGGGCCAGTGTAATTGTCGACCTGGCGTTGGAGGGCAGAAATGCGATAGATGCGAGCCGGGCTATTGGGGCCTGCCTCGTATTGGGACTGGTCATACTGGCTGTATACGTGAGTTTATTTTTGTATGTTTAAAATTGTCTTGAATGTAAGAAAATGTTTCTGTGAGTTTACTATAAACTCCCCGAAGTGGCGTTGAACGCAAAAACTTATTTGCTTTAAATGTTACGTCGTTTTAGTTCAACAGTAATCATCTTGATATCCATATAAATAAAAATGAATCGCAAAATATGTTAGTAAACGCACTAACTCAAAACAGGTCCAGTTTGGGTATTTTTTTAATTTTTATGCCTTGAACTCTGAGGAAGGTTTTTATGAAAACATTGGAAACATTAAAAAAAAAGTTGCTTATGTTTTTATTACGGAAAAGCGAACAGTCTTTATGGGGTAGCATAGAAAATCTCCATATGTTACTATGTAGCTACTAAAAGTAGGCTTAGTAAAAAAACATATATAAAAGCGAAACAAAGTTTACGCGTAAGCTAATTTAACGTATTAAATTTTTGTGAATGAATGTAATTTTTTTTGTTTCCTACATGGGAACTGTAAATCTTTACTGGTCTTTTCTGTTTAGAATATTGTGTTTAATCTATCCAAACAACTCTATTATCTAATCAAACAAATCTATTAGGTATTTTTCAATGACTATTTTTAGCTTGTGGATGTTCAGCATTTGGGTCGGTGAGAGAAGATTGCGAACAAATGACAGGCCGCTGCGTGTGTAAGCCTGGGATCCAAGGGCAAAAATGCACCGTTTGTTCTAACCACGAACATACTCTTGGACCGAGGGGATGCTTTGATCGTGAGTATTGTTTGAATAGTCGATGGTGCAAATTATATTATTAAAAAAAACATACGTATTACTTTGAGACAATATGGTTACTAAAATAGTTTAATTTTTTTTTAATTATGTTTTTTTATGTTTGGTAAACTTATTTATAATGATTTAGGAAAGCGATTCTGCCGGGAACTCCAAGATAGAATAATAAATGTTCGTATTTGATTTATAAAATGCATAGAGCTCAAATATAAAGCATTAAATCATGTCTGTATTTAATATTAGATTAATACGGTAAAGGTATCGCTAATAGGTAAATACATTTTAATATATGACGTTCCTAAAACGTTATATAACTTTACGAAATGTATTTTGTAGTTTAATTTAACAAAAATATTATAAATTCTTATTTGAAATGGTATTAATGTTATAGCCGAAACTCTATACAACTCCTTACCGATAATTGTTTCTGAAAACTATTATAAGAACTATAAATAATAATAATATATATAGGCGAACCTCCCATTAAAACGTATTTAAAAACCTTTTCGTTAGATAATTTAGTTTAATCAGCCCGGAGATCAGTCACTCAGCCTGCCTTATGCCTATCGCTTTAAAATCATGCGGAAACGCTGTGGTTTTTACATGACGTGTTATAGAATTTTGGTGCCTGCCACTAACTGCGAGCACATGACGTGTTATTTTGGTGCTTATTGCGTAGTCCGGAGCGGCCTGGCGACTTGCGAATGTCCAAGCATGGAGTGTAAAAAAGACCAGCCTGCTGTATGTGGAAGCGACGGACGCACTTACCTCTCAACTTGTCATTTAAGGGCCCACGCTTGCAGGACCCAGTCAGATACAGTTGTCCAAGCATTCGGTCCTTGTGCTGATACACCCAGCGTACGGCGAGGTAGTCGTTCCATAGTTAACAGTAGCCGCTCGAGCCCTGTTCAGAAGAAATACGCGGATGCTTCAGTAGATACCAGCGATAGTGGCAAACCTGACAGTCCAGAACCCCAAACCTGCGTCGATCTGCTCCCACCACTCGAGTATCGCTAGAATTTGTGGCTAATTGTAGAATTTTTGACTTATTAGAAATATGTTTTTTTTATTATATTCGCAGAAAATTTACGCACAATTCACACTGTGCAGATAAAAAATGATATAACAAGCACTTGTACTAAAAAGGCTAAGAATTATTTCGAGTACGAGGACGAGCAATTTGGTACGAACGACGTGGAGGATGTGTACCCTGTAATATATGACGAGTATTTCTACGAACACGAAAACAGTTTGTATTCGGCCCCATTGTTCGATGGGCGTGCTGGAATGACAGCAGCGATGTTATTACCGGCTAAACGATTCGATATATGGGCTGAAGTGTCTGCCGTCTGCAGCAAAGGCACTTTAATGAGCGCCTCAGGCGTGAGGGATTATTTATGGCTGGGTATTATAGATGGCAAGGCCGAAATGCGTTTTGATGCCGGTAGCGGGCCTTTGGAGCTCCGTTCGGGGAAAGTGAATATTGATAACAAGTCAAAATTATTGGCGCGGAGATACAAGAAAGATGCGATGTTGAATGTTGGGAGTATCACTGCGAGAGGAACGACTCATGGAAGAATGAGCTCACTCGATGTGGAACCTTACATTCATATTGGGCTGCCGCCGATGAATGATACATTGTGAGTATAATGTTAATTATATTTAAAAATAAATTTATAAATAAAAAAACAAAAACAAATGAAATTAACGCGATACTCTTAGGAACTACTGATTCGAATTAAAAAAAGTATTTTCGTGATGGGTTATTTATATGGTCTATTTATTATTATATGATAGGAATAAAAAGTTGAAAAAGAAGGGGGATTACTTCTTGAGAGCTTTCGTTGTGTGCGCTGCGTTAACGGTGCAGTTTACACAAAAATCATGTCTCTTAAAGTTGATTCACTATAACCATTTTTATCATAATTATATTTGATGTAAAATATTTATTTTCTACGCTTTTTTTGTATAGATTATATTAAATACTGGCATACTAGAGCATTCAATGGTGTCGCGTCGTATAAATTTGATGTCGTTATAAAATTATATACATAAATATTTGATTTTAATATAGATGCATATTGGCAGGGTCTATTTTAAAAATTCATATTATAGTCAGGTCCATACTAACATTTCATAACAAAACGACGAACGAAAAACGACTTACTAAAACTTGTCTAATAAAATCAGGTTGTCGAAAATCGGATTCCCTGGGTTCGTAGGATGCGTACACCGGCTACGGGTGAATGGCCGTGACGTCATCCCGCCTTCCCGGGGAATGTCTGTTACTTCTCACGGCCTACGTGCGTGCACGCCGCAGAATTTAGCTGAGGTAGTATGTCCCTGATACATCCCCAGATGATGTTATTAACATTGTCGAAGAACTTTAAAATCTAACATTACTGATTCAAGGAAGATCGTATTTAAAAAAAAACTCGACGTATCGTCTCTAAAGTTTAGATTTAGTACATTTTACCCTTTTTTTTTTGGTTTTAGACTTTGACAGTGTCATATTGTTTTTATGTAAACTATGTGTCATTTGTGCGAAATTGCGCTGCTAACATTTTTATGGTTATCTTTTCACTTTAAGTGGAAAATGTACAGAATGAAGTCTAACTCATTTTTCAAACAAACTCTTTTCTTCATTGACAACCCTTAATGGTATGGTTGTCGCTATAAAGTAACTTTTAGAAATAACATTTAAAATATATTATGAATTATATACGTAAAATTTAATTCGTATTTAATGAATTTACGAGTATATAAATGAGGCATTTTATTTTTTTAAAGTATTAAATCTTGTTAAATAAATGTAGGTAATTTAAATTACTCATAGCATTCGTGAATATTGTGATAATTATAGATGTTTAGTCATTATTATAAACATATCTACAAAAGTCTTCAGAAAGAAATCTTTAAAACTATTTTCAAAAGCTTACCATGCATGGAACAATTTTGTAAAATAACATTTGGAACTATTAAAGTTTATAATTACTTGTTTCTTTTATTTCAATTGTACTGAACAACTAAATCCCTTTTCCTTATTTCGACGCTAGCCCATTACTTTCTTATCTGAATTTCTCCTTATTTCCTTTATAAACCCTCTTATCGCTATCTTCTTCATAAAAGCCGGGCCTTCAAAATTTAAATCTATTTTATTGTCCAGCGGACAACGCGAAGCAAATCGTAAAAACTGTAATTTACAAAAATTCTATTGTCCATACTTAAATTACGTTCATCGTAAAATATTGAACAAACAGATAAAAATGCTCTCTCAATAAATTAAAGGCGTATCTAACTAGACAACACGTATCCATATATATAACAATGAATTGCTGTTCGTTAGTCTCGCTAAAACTCGAAAACGGCTGGACCGATTTGGCTAATTTTGGTCTTGAATTATTTGTGGAAGTCCAGAAAAGGAAAACATAAGTAATAAGTAAAGAAAAATAATAAAATAAAATTTTCCAACAAAATCTATCCTATGGTGTGTTCTTATGTCTTTTTAGAAATAAAGAAGTGTCACTTGGTTGTCATATATAGGTGCCTCCAGAAATTAGTGTTTCATGGCTATAGTTTGAGGTTGTCTGTTTTAAAAATGTTGTATTACGTTTTGACACAAATAATATATGTAGGTGATATGATGTTCACGAGTTCATCTAGTTGTATATTTTTGATGAGTTTATAGTGAATGTATATTACTAAGTTTAAACTATGTATAACTTATTTTTAAGCATAAAATAGAACTGAGAGTAAATGTATTTTTTAACATAATCATTATCAAAAATATTTTTCCGATTACAAATCCAACATAATAGGTATCAAGTTTCAAATGCATTTCGACTGGGTTCACTGTGCCTCTTAAATAAAACGTCATCTTATTGCTACCATCAATTTTTACGATCAATATGAATATTTTACGACTAGTGAAAGTTCTCATATTTGGTGAGCTCAAGTGCCACTTAACATTACCGGCAGGTACCAAATGTACACCACTCAAGCGGGAAGCATTAATTTTGTCATAACAATCGCTCTACTCGCTCGCTCTTCCAAGGTTTAATACAGCTAAAAGCCCCATTCATATCTTTACCCTACCACTTTTTTAATGTGTCATCTTGATGTATTTTATCAGAGCGTAATTTTATCACGACATTACTCTCTGCTTTTGAAACTTTCAATATCTGTTATGTACGACTTCACACTGGTACTGGATATTACATGCGTTATCGCGGAGTACTTTGCTTCGATTCTTGGATAAGCAAATTCATTTTCATTCACTATGTTTGCTCCTGGAAGTATGTGTATATATTTGCAGGGTCGTTACAACCTCCGAGCAAATCGTCATAATTGTAGAATAATGTCGGATTTGAAAAAAAACCAAAATCCACTTTTTATCATATTTGGACGCTACATTTACTAAATATTACGGCTACTTTCACAGCGTTATGACGTACGGTATTCTACTGTGGGGTGCTGCTGCAGAGGTTCAATCCATATTTGTGCTGCAGAAGCGGGCTGTTCGGGGTATTTGTTGTGTTTCTCCGAGGGAATCGGTACGGAATAAGTTTAAGGAATTAAATATTATGACACTATCTGGTCAATATATTCTTAAAGCCTTGTTGTATGTCCAAAAAAATATAAACGATTTTAAAACAAATGGTGACTTTCACCAGTATAATACGCGAAATAGAACTAATTTGAGTGTGCGACCAACCAGGCTCCAAAAGATAAACCACTCCTTATATGGAAATTGTATTCGTTTTTACAACAAACTCCCAAGCGAAATTAGAGAATTATCACTAAATAAATTCAAAGCCCTCGTTAAACGGAAATTAATCAATAAAGATTTTTATAAATTTGAGGAATACTTAAATGATTCTAATCCTTTGGATTGATTTGCTCCAGTTCAAACAATTTGTATGACAATACTTGGCGATTAAAAAGAGTGGCGGAAAGTTTCCTGCCAGTTCTTCTTACCCGCTCGACGCCCTTGGCTTGCGAACTGGTAATAAATGTAAATTTACAATTAATTTAACTTGACAATTCATAAGTGTAATTGTTTACCTACATGAATAAAGATATTTTGAGTTTGAGTACATTAGAAGAAAATTCCATGTGTTTTAAATTTCAAATTAATCAGTCGGTAAAGTGACGGATTTGATAGAAATATGTGAATTTTCTAGAAAATTGTTTAATTTAATGTTATTAATTCTAATTTGTTTCAAAACAAAACTAACATTTTATTTTGTTTCTTTGCTTGTATGCCAATTTTCATAATTACAGAATATGAATTAAAATAGTTATGACAAAATCTAACATGATTATATTATTTTAAAATGCCCTGCCCTGTAAAGTTTACTATTTGTCAGATCCGTCACTATTCTACGACTATGACGAAATTTTAGTATTATTAAGTAACAGCGAACTATGTGATAAGTTAGCGTATATACAAAAAATGCATGTATCACAGTATACTTGAATATATATTACCGTATGCCGGTATTTAGAGTTTGCTGGTCGTGAGAGCTTGAAATAACTAAGCGAAACATAATGAGTTGTTTAGTGCATTTTCAGAGAGGGCCTAATACGCGACATTGTTAGAATTTTCAAACGGGTTAATATCAAGAGAGGTTGTGGAATGTTTAATTACCGCTGTGACATACAGCGGGATGCTTGACGCCACCCAAACCGTTATTTATATTCATGCAAATGTAGCTCTTTGCGCGTACGTTTAGTAAGACTATGCTCTCCAAATTGTTTTAATACCTTTTTAAAAATGGAAAAGAAAACTTGTTTTCAGTGTTTGTAACTGAATAACTATAACTCTATGATTTAACGAATCAGACAATATTACGACGTACCAAGGCTTCCATGTGTGTGTATGTTAAAATGCTTCAGAAAGAATCACCTAGACCACCTTTTTAGAGTTTCCGGTTATTTCCACATCGCAATAAATTATTAAATTGCACCAGTAAAATAATTAATCTTCAAAATATTTCGTAGACAGTAAGCAAATTGCAAATGTAAGCTACTCAGGCACTACAATCTCATAGATTTCATTCTCGGCGGAGAATTATCGCGAAAGCCTCGACAATTATTTACAGCGCACCAAGCCGAAATTACAACACGCTGTTCTGTGGGCTTTTATGTTTATTCACAGGTTATTATTCCGTAGCGGATTATTTGAAAATGCTCACCCGTATATCACACGCCGCGCTTTGGTGGCAGAACGTAAAAGTAATCGCGGTGAACATGTCGGAAATTATCCTGTTGTAGGCTTAGTGCGGTTATACGAGCTCGTTTGTAATGCTCACACAGAATGTATTATGGACTTTAGACTCTAACTCTCCGATATGTGTGACATACATGATGATTAATACCGCCACAGACTAGCCTATTTACTAATGTATCTGGTTTGATTATGTACTGCTGAAAACCAGTGATAAACATAATCTGCCCGTGGATTTGAGTAAAAATATGGAAATACAGTTCTAACATAACACACATAATGTATTTCTTGACTTTTTCAGCATGTTATCGAAAGATATAGATTATTATTATTTATAGTTACGATAAATTTCAGTATTTATCAAGTAATATTTTTCTGAAAAGTCTGTAGCTATCTATCATATTTCCGCATCTCTTCTTTAAATCATTATAAGGCCTGAAATCCTTATATCTCTATTTCTTTTGCAAATGGGATTTCACGTTTCACTTGTTACTCACGTGTTACTCAAGCTGGAAGAAACAGCAGCGTTCCAATATAAACGTTTAGTTATATAAGTGAAATCGAGGAAATTCAGATAATGTGACAGTTGTACCCATAAATAACATGCCATCAGGTAAGGCGTTATCGGGAGTAACAAACGGGGACCATTATAACCACTGTTATTACGTTCAAAATGACTCGCTTTAGGAAAATGTGGATAATAATGTAACCGCGACTTTGCAAATATGTTTTAAAATTCCATTCCATTCTACTATTCAATAGAGATCTGATAAAATATTGCAGGTAATTACAAAATTAGGTTCAAAATATTGATTTGTTAAATACCACTATTATTATTGTCTTTTTTGCGACTGAGCTGCGAAGATCGAGATCACAGCAGCTAGCTGCTCTTCATCTTCGCACACTGACAGAATGACCAGCGCTGTGGAACAGTCTGCTCCTCTGAGCCAGGGCCAATTACAACCACAGAACACACGCATTACACACTTGAAACGATCCGAAAGGGAAAAGGGATTTTTTTTGTTATCTCTCATAATATTTTTTTTCTTAGATTATTGCTATTATGTGTGCGTGTTTTTGTAAGTAATAAATGTTATGTCTACGTCTAAATAGTTAAT